ATGGACTACAATTACGCCTCATTAAGAAAGCTTTTGGTCGTTCTTTAGAGTTTCTCGAAAACTGATTTTCCAGAAGATCGGTCTTTGAAGGCCTAGCAGCAGCATTCATGGTGATATTCGGAATCAGTATCGTCGACTACCTATAGTCCACTCGGTTTCGTTGAAAAAGCGATTTATCAGTTGAGGTACTTCCCTCATCGATTTTCTTTTCGGGAACGTGATGCAATCAAGAAATCATCATTTACGCTCACTTGGAGATCAACCTTTTCGTTCATTTCTCACTTCTGTAGATTTTTACTCTGAGATTTTCACAAAATTAACATGTTTAGTCATTTTTCTACAACTAAGAAAGGTTTTGAGTTTCACTACTCCTTCATCCAGTTCCTCGAATCGAATCTTTGAAATGATAGCAGAAAAAAGAATTTTCTGCCTTTCTTGCGATTCCAAGAAATCATCAACAGTTATGATCCATAAAATATCAGATATAATATGAAAGAATCAATCACAAATATGATAACTATATCTGTTATAATATCGTTTTAGGTTGAAATCAATCCATTTCTTTTAATTTCCAGTTTTATGGCTTAAAACAGTTTCATTGCTCTTCTATTTCGAAAAATCGCTTTATTTCGGCAGCCATTTTATCGTTTTTATATAGTTTTTGATCTGACAGCTAGTCTTTTGCAAAACTTCTGCTAGCCGTCAATTGACGCCGTTTTTGGACGACTAGCGGAAACCAACCTCAACCTGTTTTTTGCTCCAAAAATGAAAATTTTCTTCATGACTTATTTGATTGGTCAGTCCGCCATTTTGTCTGTAAGGTTATCCTATTGAAGAACTCTTCGATAGACTTCCTAGATACCGCATGTCTCGGTCACGCTAAGTACGCATACATGTGGAACGTGGAGAAATGGTCCCTTAATATCTTACGGATTAGTCAACGACAAGAAAAATGAACTAGACAATACACGCTAATTCATTTAACAAAAAACAGGCACGGAATTAGATACGTGTCACTGAAGCGGCGTCTATCGTAACTTAATCCATTGGTCAAAAGAGCATCGCATTGAAGTTAAACTTGAATCTATATATGCTGTAAGAATCAGAATCCATAGATGCTATATGGAAGGTACAATTGACTTATTTTGTGGTTTTTTCAACAGTTTCTCAAATGTCTCCCGCACTTCAGACAGAATTGCAGATTAATAATGACTGTTTAGTATCGTATCACAATTTGCCAACTCTTTTCTGTTGTGGTACACTTGCAGATTACGACGACTCATCGAATCGTTAGCAGAGTTCGTGAGCACTTTTCGTGCATAAAACAGTCTTAGTCTTAGAGTTCGTGCATTTTTTCGCTTTTTACGGACATAAATTCATTGGATAGTACTGTAGGATAATGAATATCTCAGTAAATATGACAGATCGTAAAAGAAAGAAAACAGAAATTGAAATCCTGTCTCGTCCTTGTTAAAATCCGAAACTTCCATTCTATGAATTTGTGTTCTTAAAAAGTGGAGAAGGTGCACGAAATAAATCTTTTTTTTTGTCTGAAAGTACATTATTGCTCAGTATTGCTAATTATTTTGGTACTCTGATTTTAATTTTGTTTGTGTGATAAACAGCAGTTTTCGTACATAATGGAACAAAAAGATGTTGATCATTCAAATTATAATGGTGGAGATGATGAATTCGAATGGATGGGAGATGTATCGAAAGAAGAGCTGGAAGCAATAGATGTGAGTAAGCTGAATACTTCGAATAGATAGTTATAAAATTCATAACATGTTTCTGACTTGGATATGAATTACATTTTAGCTTCGTCGAGCTCGAGATGATCAAATCAGTAAGAAACTTGGAGATTATTTGTTGAAGGGTTATTGCATGTTGAACACTATTTGTGATCAATGTAGTGTAAGTGAAACTTTTAATTAAGAAACTTCTAAACGAGTATCTTTGTTTTTGCTTTTATATTTTAGTGCATCTTATTACGGTCTCCAGATCGCAGTCTATATTGTGTCGGATGCTCGGAAGTCGATAATAAAACGAGTAAGATGAAAAAAAAGAAGAGAAGAAGAAGATTTATACAGTTTAGTTAAATGAATTATTTGTTTTTTTAACAGCTAACGATAAATTATTAAAAAGTGAAAGAAATAATAATAGTTCAACGATAGAACAAATGGATCAACCGTGTGATGAAGATGCTACCGCTCATAATCTATCAAAAAAACAGACAAATTCTAATCAACAACGTGAGAAACGAGCTCACAGAAAGAAGAAGACGTCATTTAATAATCGTGCAGATTTAACAATGAGTAATAATAATAATTGTGGTATCTACTCAGAAAAATTGGCTATGAAATTAAAATGGGCAGTTGATGAATTAACAAAATCAAATCAACCAAATCGGATAGCAGCACTTTGCACAGTTATTACGAAACTAACAGAATCAATAAAAGCTTTGAAACAATTAGAAATGACAAACGATTTATTATAAAAAGAAATAATCATTTTATCGTCATGACACTACATTTCCATAACGTGCATTTTATATTCAAGCTGTTTAGTTTAATAAAACTCTAATTATACATTGTTTTTAGCTTTTACAAAGTATCTGTGCAACTGATATAGTCCTCCTTCGATAGCAGAAATCTCAGTGGAAATTGAGAAAAATTGTGAGACATACGATCTAGTCAAATATTTTCAAAAGAACATTTTTCTACAGCCATTTATTTGAACAGAATGTCAAATGAATTTTACCTAATCTTCTATTTACTCTTCTTTTTTGGTTTACTATTCCAGAAAAAAGCTACAGCGCTATGGGAAGACGAGTAGCTAAACACGTAATGAGAAATAAGAAAAAGTATTGGAAAAAAATTCCCGTTGACGATATAGAGGACTATTTAGAAGATGTGCGTATACAAGAAATTACTGGGTATGTTTTGTTACTTTTTCGGACATTACCATTGTATCATGAATTTTTTCTCTTTTTAGCGGCATTCGTTCGGAACAACCTGATCAGTTTCTATATCATATTGATACTGAAAGACCATTAGGATCTGATTTAATTCCTCAATCGACAGTAATACCATCTTCGACAAAAAGACGTGCACTAGATTTAAGTAATTTGAATTCCTATAAATTATTGAAACCACATAGTAATGTAGCACCACCATCAAAAGAGTACGTACCTTTATTAAATTTCATTTGGTGATATTCAGTAAAAGTTCTTTTTAGTTCTTATCAAATGAAAAATCCAGCATCAAAAAAGACAAAGCGATTGGTGGAAAATCTTAAACTTTCAAATGAAAGAAAAATGAGAACAAAAAAATATCGACAGGCTCAGAAACAACGTTTAGAAGCCAGTGAAGAGCAAGCATTGGCGAAAGCTGAAGCTATTGCCACAGATGATCCACATGTAACTACACAGTACGATATTTGGGAAGCAAAAGATTTAAAAAAAGGTAGTTTATAATTAGGTTTGAGAATAAGTAACTTCTATCAGTTGTTGTTGCACGTTCAGAAACAACAAAAGCTTTAGTTGGAGAAAATATGGCCAATTTCATCGATCAAGTAACGAAAACATATGACTGGAAGGTGAGTGGTAACCAAAAAGTATTGAATCTTAAGTTATATACCTTTATTTTCATATTGTAGGTACCCGAACATCATACTAAGAAACCATCAGCAATCCCAGCTGTTAATTTACCTGAACCAGGAGCATCTTATAATCCGTCGTACGATGAACATCAAGTAAGCGATTATTTTCACTAAAGTCAAGAGTTAAATGGTACACAGTAGAAGACATTGACTGTCTGTTTGTTTTTCTTATTTAGGAACTATTGCAAAAAGCACTGACAATTGAAATTATAAAAGAGAAAAAAGAGAAAAAACTTCATAATCAAATGGCAGCAAAGTTTCCAGAAAGTGCCGTAGCACCAACAAGAGTACGTGAATTTTTAATACAAAATCAATTTTCCTTATTAATACGTGTGATTTTCTTTAGGAAACATGGTTGAAGGAAATGTCATCCGGTTTATTTGATGAAAATTGGGACGATATTGAGGATAAGAGTGAAGTAATAGCAACTAAGTCTGTTAGTGTAGGAAAACCAATTATTGATGAAACAAAAACAAAGAAACAACGTCGAAAAGAAAGAGAACGAAAAGGAGAAGAGTTAAAACGAAAAACAGAGAAAGAAAAAAACATTCGTGAACATTCATTATTCAGGTGAACGTTTTATTAGCAACTTTTTTTTAAACTGCTGTTCGATTAAATCGTAGTTGTAATAACCATTATCCTATTATTTATCAGGTTAAAAAATATCAAAAAAGAAATTGATGAAAGTGAGAAACAATTTTTGGCAAAAAAATTAGAGCGAAAAAATCAGAAAACATTGGACTTAAAATTTAATACAAAACGTTTTGGTCCATATAAATATGAAGAAGCTGATATCGATTTCAATTTGTCAGATGAGATAAATGGAAGTTTGAGAAATTTAAAAGTAAATTATGGAAGTTTACTATAATGATCAGTGGTTTACTCTGTTTTCATCTGTGTTTTCAGGCGGAAGGTAATTTGTTACATGATCGTTTTAAAAGTTTGCAAAAACGAAATATCATTGAATCAAGAGTTCGTGCCAAGTATGTATTCATTATTCTATTTGTGTAATTAATGGATATTCTCTTATTATGTAATAATTTTAGACAAACAAAGCAAAAACTGAAGCGTTACGTCAAACGATCTGTTCAAGCAGTGGGGTATGTAATAATGATGAGAAAAACAGGGATGGATGAAACTATTTATTCCTTTTTTTTTCTTTTTTTAGAGAAGACTACAAATCGAAATAGTCAGTGAACATGTCGTTGTTATAGCTGTCATTCTTTTTTGTTATTATCTTTGTATAATAAAAGTTAAATATATTTTGAATGTTTGGAATTGAACGAGATTTTGCGTATATGATTCGCTGTTCTTTGTTTGCTCTGTTATTATCACTTTATTGATTATTATATACAGTTGCAGATTAGTGTCGTTTTTGGAAAAGAAAAATCAGATGTCCTCTTCTCTGACAAATAATTTCATTCAAATAACAAGCGATTAGTAAGTAATCATTCATATCATAATTCAGATAAATAATTTACGAAAGAACATTATACAGTAGCTTTTTTCTACTATTCAATTATTTATTTGTTAGATAAACTTATCATGAATACTGTTCAAACAGCAGTACTTACAACCGGTTGCAAAAAATTTTCATTAAAGTATCTTTCCTGTTATTTCATTATAAATCGCTATAAACATCGATTAAATCATCCTGGTGTACATATTGAACATGGTATTCAATATCCTACTCCACTTAAATTACCGGATGAATATTCAGATCGACCACTCTACCCTCCAATAAAGCCCAAATATCCTCCTGGTATGTGCTGAATACAAAGAATATGTATTAAGAATATTTACAATATTCTTTCAGGATCATGGGGTACAATGGATCCAAAAAAGGCATGGATGCATTATGAGTGGGGAGAGAAACATTATAAATGTTTAAAAAGTGTCAAAGAACGTTTAACAGTGATGGCGTATATGAATATGAAATGTCAATTCGATAAACTTGACGTTGAACAAATCGATTCAAAATTAATATGGATGTTAACTGGACGTTCCATAGCAGCACGTAGTCTACCATTTTATAAACACATTACACGTACACATGTAACTAATGAATTGCCAAAATTCTATGAGAATTATGATGTTGAAAATTTATTGAATTTTATTAAACCAATATTAATTGAACGTATATTAAGTGAAGAATTATATCAAAAACCATATACGCCTATTGAGCAGATATATGATTCGGGTGCCTACGTTGTACAAAGTATAGCTGAAGAAGAACAATTGAAAAAAGATGAAGAGAAAACCAGAAAAGTTTTATCAAAAATAATACGAACAGTTGTTAATGTATTGGCTGAAGATAAACCATATTTGAGACAAGCATTGGTAACTTTTGATTTCACATTAGTCTTTTGATATTTTTGATTGTATTTTAAAATATTTCAGATTGGTTCCGATGTGCCGATTGAAGCTTGGTGGAGTCAGTCGTTGAATGGAGAAGTTTATGGAAAGGCCAAATGGCATTATGATCAAAATACAACAAGTTTTCAGTTTCGTGATAAAGCTGCTATACAAGTTAAAACTGATAAACCATTGAGAAGTGTAAGTTTGTCACCTTTAATTGGAATGTTTGTTTATTGATATTGTTTTGTTTTTGGTTTTAGATTGTTGATCCAGATAGTAGTTTATGTCAGACACCAATCCCAAATTGTATATACCATCCTCCAGCATTCAAAGTATTTACCGATCGCTATTTACCATCGCAAATTCCAGGTACAATTGAGTATTTTTAGTTGTTTTTTAAATGATTTTACTCAATCTTAACTATCTAGGACATTGGCATGGCGAAGGACATGATTTTAATTTATTAACAATCTATAGTATGGATTCGATTTATAAACATGACAGTTATTTTGGTGAAGATGAAATATTAACTAGCCTGATGTCTTGGATTGTTAATGCAAGTCATGCTGAATTATTAGCACAAGCATATTATCTTGGTATAGAATGGATTAATATAATACTCGAGAAAATGTCTTTAATTTGTGTTTCATTTAGGATTTTCTATGTGGCGTGAGCCTACATATCCATTAATCGCTCAGACAATTTTGACTAATCGTCGTCAATGGATATTTGGTGTTTATCAATTAAATACTACTAGTCATTATAAGGATCTCGATGCCCAGACAACATCAAACGTTTGCTGGGTATCTCCTCTAATGAAGTATGTTTTCATTATTTGTTCTTTCGAAAAGAAATGTCAAGTTGTCATGTGTTTTTCAGTCTCTATGATCGAATTGAAAATGGTCAATTGATTAATTTTAATGATGATGTTTTACGTCAATTATTACGATGTATCTTAAATGAACCGATTATGAATCCTGAATGGAATTTACGACCTTATGTTGAAGATATATCAAATTTAGATGATCGTTATCAAAAATTTATTCGTAATATGTATGAGTTAGTTAAATTAGAAAAACAAGATAATCGTCTACATCATCGATGGGCTAAATTAACACGTGATACAAGTACGTTTCATCATCGTTATGGAATGATGACAACATTATTTAAAGATATTGTATGGGATAATTATCCGAGAGAGTGGTATGGCAGAATATTGGAGCGTATTGAAAGAAAAATTACGCGACCGACATTCAAAGATTACGATTTATTGACACCAATTACCGTTTAGTCTAATTTGTTTTGTTGTTATTTTTCTTTATCTAGTATTAATTGATACGATTTTTTTCCTTTTCGTCTATATATACCATAAGGATAAACATAAAAACCATAAAGGTAATTATTGTTTTCTGTAATCATGGGAGATGTGGTGACTATGCAAACGATAAATTTAGCGAAAATCAAGTCACTTTTGGTTAGCTGTTCATTCAGAATATGAGATCGAACATGGTGATTTTACTACAAAAATTTCGTTTCTGTTTATTTTCGTATGTGAAAATTTTCTACTGATTTTTCGTACGTATTTACGTTTTTTGAAAAAAATGCTTATAACCGTCTCTCTCAGGCTCATGTGTTCTCCTCTGACGATCTTAGAAATAACAAATATTTTCTCTTGTTCATTTTTATATTGGAATGAAGTCTACGATCAATCTTTATTGATGAGTAGCAGCAGCAGCTCTATCTGTATGACTTGATAGTTCCGCGGTAAGACCCGATGGATAAAACACATGAATAGTAGAGTCCTGTGGGTTTAACTCGAACCCGATTCCGAAAGCTTTTTTTCGGGTTTGAGACGGGTTTCAGTTCATCTGAACGGGATCGGGATCGAGTTTGTTTCCGATCCCGATTCTTCTAGTTTGATATAGGGGGGATAAGAGACAATTCTAAATAAATAAAAAAGAATGGAAAATAAGAAAAATGGACAGGTGTTTCGCACTAGACGTACAACCGACCAAGTGAATTTTATTTCTGTACCTCTACGAGTAGAAATTTACTAATGTTAAAATGCAAGCGGGCACTACTTCACTAGAAGAAAAACATTTCGGGTTCGGGACCGGTTTCAAATCTACCAGATCGAATCGGGATCAGGTTCGAAAATCTCAAACCCGCAGGACTCTAGTGAACAGATCGGAAAAAATGGAAAAGAAAAGAAAACGCAAGAAACAAAAGAAAACAATATAAATCTAAACGTAGTGTAAAGTTCATGCTAAATACGGTAACAAAACTTGGTAAAGCGGTCAAACCAATGTTGGTAGTTAATTGGCATTATAATGAGCATAAAACTTGAAACGTTTCAGACTAAAACTAGAGACGACATAAATGGAGTGAAAATCAACAGGCAAAACTTTTTCAAGAATACATTAAATGAAAAAGAATACGTTTTTCTATACTTCATCTCATCTCTGCATTAGTAATCGTCCCGGTTCGATTTTTGTCAGTCCCGTCCTTATCTAGGCTCAAGAATTTTGGCTCGGTACGCTCCGTTTCGTAGAAAACGAATACATTTTCCAGAGAGGCCTGTAGAATGTATATGGAACGGATACATTCGAATATATAGAACGGATGCTCAAAGGACAGCCAACGTCGTCGATGACATTTACAAGAGAGGATAGTGTCTTTTTTCCACATTTAATGTGAACGTTGCCTTTCAAAGTCAGATTTACGTTCAAGGTGAATTCTAATTTAAACAAGAATGCTAATAAAGGGTAGCCCAGAAGTCGTGTCTCGTTTAATATTTTCTTAACAGCTCGATCAAGATTGATCGCCAAATCTCAATCTTTCTTTAAAAAAATCTCATTCAATTCTCTACACAAAACATACTGAACATTTCTTTATACATTTACATTTTTTTATAAGGATAAAAAAATATAGACGAAATATGGGAAAACTTCAATATCGATTACTTTCAAACCGAAAAAACAAGTTTTTCAATTTCAGTCCCTTATATTTTGCGATATAAGGAAAGAGAAAATGGCCATTTTGTAGTTCTCGAAAAGCTCTATCAACTGGCTATATTTAAAACTCTTCATAGGCTCAAGTGGTTGCAGAAGGGCTGTTTTTCTTTTAGCGAGTTTGCCCCAGATCATCATTTTCTAACTGCAGTTTTGACGCGTATTGTGAAAATTTGTGAACCATATATTGTGACTTTAGATCTAGTTTATCTTAAAGCAAAATAATTCTTCTGTTACATCCGAACAGAGAAAGTCGAATAGCCCCATTTCGTTCCCTATGCCGAGGCGAACAAATCCAATTTTCCTTTTGTTTTTACTTTTAGTAAAATCTTCGTTCGTGGCAGTAAAAAAGATTTGTAACGAACTTATGATATTGAGAAAATACTGAATGAGACATTTATTGTGGGCAACCCTTTGTCAGCTAAGTCCTGATTTTTCGCAAATATACGTGGAATGAATGCCATGTGACGATAAAAGAAAATGAAATGATGAACGAATCTAATAAAACATGAAATATTATCGCTTTTCGATGCTAATTTTCTTTTCCGTTCATGAACAAAAAATTATTACATGTTGTTTTTTCGGTTGAGTTCAAAGAGAAAAAGAGCACGGCAGCAATTCTCTATTAAATTTTAATCAAAAAGACAAAAGCTCCCACATTCTAAGTTATCTGATTATCACAGAGGTAGAAGAAGAGAAACGGTATAATGAGTTATTTGTTATAATATTTAAAGAGAATAGAAATTGCTGTTAACATGAAAGTGTGGAAAAAGATGATTTGTTGTTAACTTCTCTCTCTCTCTCTCTCTCTCTCTATATATATATATATATACGCAATCATACATATTCATGTGGATAATAACGAAATTTTGAATTCTGTGATAAAAAATGCAAGCTGAAGAACATAATCAGGCGAATACTTTAATAAAAATGGATAATAACGAAATAAATCGAGCTCAAATATCGTATTGTTTATCTTGTATACATAACGTAGAAAGTCAACATAATCAATTAGTCGATGAATATTTCAAAATAAGTAAGTAATACGGAAGAAATTTTTAAAAACTCTTTAGTGTTTTTACTACTATAAATGCTGTCTAGTAGATACAGTAGTGTGTTTAATTAAAAAGATAATTAATCCACTGGCGAACACGAGAGATTTACGCTCACGACTGATATATTTCATAATATTACACTGCAAATTTTAAGTAATTCGCTCTTTTTTTTATCTAGAATAGTGAAATAATCTTATAAATCTACTATGTTGTTATCATTTTTGTCACATTTGTTCAACTTCAACCAATATGTAATGAGCCAGCTCGCTTTGTTGGAAAATATAAAAGTTTAGATTAAGTCTACTATGCTAAGAATCACAGATCGTTGATCGTTTTTAAAATAATTGAAACTCAAGATATTTTCTTTTCTCTCAATCGAATTTTTACTGAAGCGTTTGAACGGAATAAGAGATTTATTTTATACACGAATAAAACAACAGGTAAATCGATAAAAATATACCAAAAGGCACCGAAAAACTGTTTTCTGTATTCATTCTCCTGTTGAAAGTCACGAAAATTCATTCACTATATGATTCTCGATGTTAAGGATGCATATGTTGGGTAAGGCATATCATTTCTGACTGCTACCAAAAAAAAAGCTACTAACACCGCTCAACATATATTTAAAAATCTGAAAACGTTTTATGATTTACATCACAAAAGATCGATCATCGAGTATAAATAAATTTTCACGCGCTCGATCTATTCAAAGTGTTTTATTATTATTTTAAATTATTACGTGTTTCTTTTGAAAATACAGATGACACTGTCTATAATGAGTCTGACACCTAAGTGAAAAGAAACATTATGCAAAAATGGGAAAGTGTTATCGATTTATAATATTTCTTCATTTTATCTTGATTCGATTTTTTCTGAACATTCTGAAAGATATATTTCGTATTGTGTTCTATGATACATGCTCTTTTCATTTTGTAGAAGACTATCTCAAAGATGCGGCATCCATTTTACAATCGAAACCATCATCTGCAGCTCTGGTGATCTACAATCATTACACAACATATTCTGAACAAATAATGAATTGTATTCGACAAAAACGGTATACAGGACAAAAGAAAACACGAAAAAACTTAGATTGTGATATGTTCTTTTGTCTTGTTTTTAGGACACTATTAACAAATTTAATCAGTGATCTTAGTAAAACCGGACTGTTAGTAAATGATGAAGATTATGAAAGTGATGAACTTGAAGAAAGTATTGATGAAGGAATCGATGAACAATCGTTGGGTCCATTAGATATAAGTACACGATTAATAAGTTTAGAAAACAGCTACAATGATTTATCTGTATGAAGTTATTAAAACTTTAAAAAATGTTAAATCTATTTTATTTAATTGTAAAATTTGAATAAAGTATTACATATTCGGCAAAACTCAGGTTATTTTAAGTGTACACAAAAGATTCTTATATATTATGAACATGTTTCTGAAACTGCTAGACTAGAAGACTGTGCCTGATAACAATCTAGACCGCTGAATATGACATTACAACTCAAAACCTAATATTACTGTTTTCCTCATTATACATTAAAATCATGTTGGTTATATTGATTCGACTGTATTGATTTGATTAGTTTAGATTTTTCTGATGCTCAAACATATTTTATACAGTTAATTTAGTTTCAGAAGTAAAGCGGCACGATCAGGGGAAAACGACAGACATAAGTCCACTCACCTACAAATGAATTGAATGTTTTATCAACAATAACACGAGCGCATTTCCCTGGAGTAAACATATATACTTTGATTAGTAAAAAATCGAAGAACTAACTTTTTCCAGTAGATTTTAGGTTTTAATGCGCTCGAATAGATTTTTAAGTCTCATAACGCCTCGACAATTTTGCGAGCAGGTGCTGCAAGCCGAACGTTACCAATCATTAAAACAATTTGACATTTTCTCTTCTCACACTCTTTTCACATCATTTTTTTCGCATGCTGAGAACCAACTAAATTCCAGCATATTTTAAAAGTTCAATTATGACCGTAGATCACAAGGTCATCAAGAATATTTTGCATGATACGCTAAACTTATTCAACAACGAATTCACTTTGATTAGAGTAGAGTAAAAAGTTTGCTGGGGAGCTCACTTTCACACGCTGAACATAATTGTCTTACTCAAAGCTTTGCCAAATTTTGAAGTTTCATTGGTTTTATCTTCCGTTTTTCTAGGAAACTCAATTAAAAATAAACACTGTTTTCCTCAAATCGATATTGAAATCATGTATAGCATGATCCAGTTGAACTGAATCACACTTACACTCCACTAAACTCAAGTAGAAA